CCAAGGGTTCGGATCCCACATACAGACCAGCCGCTCACTGGCTGAGCGAGGTGCGGGTGCAACACCGAGGGTTGCGATCCTGTTGCCGGTCCCGGTCCGGTACGGGCGCGACACTGAGGGTTGCGATCCGTTGCCGGTCATGAAAAAAGACAAAAAGGAAAAAAAAAATATCTCTACTTAAAACTTACGAGCTATAAACCAAAAAGTTTTAAGTTACTAGCTCTATAAACTAAATAAAAATGTGGTTTTAGAAAATAAGTTCAAAATAAATTTGCAAAATTTTGAGTGGTGGCTTATGATTAGAGTTTTCCATCTGCAGTCATCCCCAGAGGTTATAAGGGGGCCTGTAATTTCTGCCAAAGCATACTACCTTACTCATTTTAAAACACAAATGTGAAAACTTATCTGTAAAACTGGCCAGCTGATATTTTATTAAAACTCCATCCAAAACTAACATTCTACAGTGTCATTTGTTAGAAATGCCACTCAGTCAACAGCATGATCTAGAAAGATACCCAATTGCAAAAACAATTCTCAAAATGCTGCTGCTCTAGGAACACAAACTACTGTTCTCTTCTGTGCTATCAAGAATACCACCATATTTTTTCAGCTTCATAAGTCTGTTTCCCTCCTTTTTTCCCAACCTTCTCAATAAGCAATCTTCTATAAAGATTAGGGAAACTAAAAAAACACATAATTAAAATTATCCTGAATACCTAGTTTAGAGCTTTTTCTTTATGATTACGTTATAGATACACTTATTACTCAACTTTACTTCTGTTTGTTTGGGCCAATAGGGTTTTCTAAATATCACTGTAAAATTGAAATACCACGTGTTGGGCCTCCTCAACTGGGGCCAGCCTTGTAAGAATTCTTCATCTATGCCCTTGTGGTGAACATCTTTAAATGAATAGAGAAAATAAACTACACAAGCAGAATTATAGGACTGTTTGAAACAAACCATCAAGTAGAGCAACAAAACTATGACAATTGTGACAGGCAGACTGAGCAAAAGCATTCCACAGTCTCTAAAACTGAAAAACCTCAGTCGTACTATCAAATTCTGTCAAAACAAATGCAATGAAAAGCTAAAACAGGATGATACAAATAGTTAAGAAATTCCAAAGTAAGCATTAAAAATCCATGCCAACTTTTCATATATTCTTTTTAGTCAATTATTTTATTTCATCAAGTTCAAAATCTGTGAAATGAAAGAAGCAACTTGAGTTCAGAGATGTTAAAAGGTGAAAAAATATGTATTTTTAAATCAGTGCAGTATGGTAATTGTTTAGGGAAAGGGGCTGGGAACTAAAGAGAATATTTGAGAAAAGTTAATTTGGCATATTAGTGAAATCATCCTTAGTGAAGGTGTTTAAAAAATAATATACTAATGTGAAGGTAAATATTTTAAATATTTTTGTTACAGAATTTAGATTTCCTTGCAACACAGCAGAGGAAAATTCAAATGATCTGGAACACCCTCAAAGTTTTACTTTCTAAAACTTAATTAAGAGGGAGGAAAGTACAAGGGGGAAAATATATATATTATAGGAACAATCCACTCTAAAAATGTATGGCTTACTAATCTTTTCAAAATGTTGGTTAGTTTCTTTTACGTCAAATAAGCAATCTTTCATGGTAGCTATAGCGTTATGATTAAGGCATGCATTGCATGTCCAATGAAGTTCAACACAGTTTAACTTCTACTGAAGTGTCTAAACCTAAAGATAGACCTATACAGGAAAAAAAAGTCCATGCCAACAATATTTGTTCATAAGTCTCCTCAATTATGTGCACTTAAAATATAAAGCCTAGTTTTAGGTATACTTGACTAAACAGGAACATAGGAACTTATGTTTTTACACCAGAGTGGTTGCATTTCCTGGTTTGCCTGAGATGGTCCCATTTTATGCTTGTTGCCCTGGCCTAATTATTAATTGTACCCCCCTGTTATTCTTATAAGTGTCCCATCTTGGACAATAACTATTAAGATGCTCTATTTAATCCTGATATCTGAACAAATCAAACTGGAATGATAAGCTTAATGATCAGCTAGAATAGGAGCAAAGTCCGTTAACTTTCTCAGACAGGTTACTTCTGATTTTAAGTACTGAATGACAGACCTGTGAAAGCAAAGTGTCTGTGGAAATATATACAGTGACAGCTGGACTACATTTTTTTATTATGACGTACATATAGTAATACAAGGATATTCCAGCAAACCTTAGTACTTTATTCATGCTTTAAGAATAACTTCATACATCAATGAGTCCAAGGTAGGACAGTACCTTCTTAATGGGTGTCCTGACCGACAGCATGACATGAAACATTTTTCGTGAATAAAGACTGTAATATATAGACCTTACCTCTTCCCAATTCCAGCTGCCTGTTCTTCAATGAACACAATTTGGGAAAGAAGAATGGCCATGCAGCACTCCTAGTAGGAAATCAATAGAAAACAAAATCCATAACACTTACAGAAATCCTCATTTATAAAATACATTAAATATAAATATATATATAAATACATAAATGCATTAAATAGATTGCCATATAGCTTAATGATGAAAATTTTAAAAATAATAATTTTATTTTATTCCTTAAATAAACTTAAGGAAAAATAAAATAAAAGTAATACTGTGGTGGCATTTTGCTTCATGGAAGAATCTAAGAGGTTTAAAAGCAGCTATAAGTACCTTTGCTTTGTTTTTTGGTTTTTGGGAGGTTTTCCTGGCAGCTGGCCGGTTTGGGGATCCAGACCCTTGACCTTGGTGTTATAACACCACACTCTAACCAACTGAGCTAACTGGCCAGCCAACCTTTGTTTTTATAATGGATATATTTTTTAAAAGTAATACTTATATGAAAACTTTTAAAATGTACTTTCTTATATGGAAAGCAAAAAACAAAATGGATAAATCAAAACAATTTTTTTTTTTTTTTGTCTTTTTCCGTGTCCGGCAATGGATCGCAACCCTCAGTGTCGC